GTTGTTAGTACCAAACGGAGGGGGTCTGAGTATTTTGAAAAATGCTGATTTCCGCACACAACCATTTCTAGGGTTGACGGAAAATTGTTAGAAAAAGTGGAAATTCTTCACGAAAGAGGTTGGAGGAAACTGGGCAGGTTGGTTAAATCTGATACAAAATGGCTGAAATAACCATTCTTTACAGCGAAGGTATGCAGAATGGAAACTCTGAACGCACAATATATGTCGAACCTACAGCAGTAGAAGATCACGCTGGTTGCAACTCCTGCCAAATGAGAACACGAAACTGAAGCTACAATTCGCTAAGGATCATGGGAATTGCACAATAGAATGGCGTCTTCTGTTATGATATTCGGATGGACATGAAAATATGGATGCATCCAGTCTTTTATCAATGATTCAGATTGCTGTTAGTGATGTAATTGTATGGGGAATACATACAATGGGAGACTAGGTACAATTAACGATCACTAAATGATCGTTTAAATGCTGCACTTTACCTAGGTATTGTGGCTGATCATGTACCTCAATTTATTAGTATGGTGCACGCATTCACTTCCAGCAGGGGAACATACCGTGCCATAAATAAAAAGTAGTGGCACAGCACTGACTTGTCTATGCCAAAGTGGCGTCAGCAGTCATCGGGTCTTGATCTAATAAGAGAGATTCGAAACCTGGATGTGCAGGCAATCAATCTGGAAGAATTGCAGGATGCCATAATAGCAATATGGACTAGACTCTAGTCCATATTGCTATTATATTCTATTTACTAGTTTACTTTGGAAAGAATGGTTCCACAACACCGTCGAAATAATGTTAAGATGAACCGAAACGGTTCTAAAGCCAAAAGAGGGTTCAACCCGGTACTAGAAAAATGTACCTAATAATGTGACTGGTGAGGGTATATTTACCCCTCTGCCCATCCATACATTTTATATAATATATATATATATATATATATATATATATATATATATATACGTATGGGTGCTTGTACGTAAAATCACCTCCAACTAATGATAATCATCATGCTCAATTCATTGACGTAAAATACAGAAATACGAACTTTCTAATGTGGTCTTATGCGCTTCTAGAATTCGTTACATTTTGTATGTTCACCTGATTGCATACTAAACGATAAAGATAAATGCTTGCGAGTAAATTTAATAAAATTTTTGAAACATTAGTAAAAAACATTTCCGTGATCTAACCAAGAGAATGAACTGCACAAAATGTGTGTACATGCTGAAGATTTTTTTTCGTCAGAGGTCTTTTGGTTAAACAAAAGAAAAAAAAAACTTGACAACGCCAGAATGTAACTGTCATATGAACTGGGATTCTTAGAAAATTAATTTAAATCTATTAGATTTTCATTAATATGTCTTAATGAAACCGTAGATTACAACTTATTTTTAACTTAACCACTTAGAACTTGATATTGGTAAAATATGTTGTCAACCGCTCCAAGACAATTTTATCCAATTCCCTGTCAACTTAAGACAGCCTAGGACAAAGACATTTCTCCAGAGAGATTTCTTTAGTTACTCCAGGAAAAGTGTTACTTACATTGTCGTCATCACTATCTACGAATTATTTTGAATCGTTATATGTTTCATTGTCTTCGGTCTTCTAAATCCAAGACAAAGAAATTTCTAGCGATATATCTCATCAGCTGTACCTAAATGGTTAATAATAGCATTTAGATTTATTCATATTGAAATTCTTTCTTTAGGAAGAGGACTGTGAAAAGAAACGAATAGGTATTTTGTTTTAAATAAAAGAGTTAAATATAGAAATATCTCTTTATGTTAAGCAAAAACATTCAGTGACCAGTCGGCAAATTAGAAACAGAATGAATGGCACAAAGAAGAAAGCTTATATTCATCCCAAACAGACACGTATACACAAGGAAGAAGAAAGAAGAAAAAGTCAGAGGGAAGAGAAATACCTACTATTCTTAGATTAATCTTGACATTATTATTCAAAATTTCGTTTTCCGGACACGCAGCAAGATGGCAGTAAGAAAGCGGTTCACACTTGAAATTGGAGCAGACAGTGAAATTAACTTATTAGCAGAACAAATTCCCGCAAGATTTTGTGCAGAAGGAATATAGGAAAGGTTGCAAGAAGACATTAGTAGATTGGTAGAATTTTGTATATAAATTGTTTAAAATTATAGGGATAAACAATGTGGTAATTGGTGGGGGTGATGTCGATAAATAAAACTGAATTCCGGAAAAGAAAATACAACAGAAGTAAAAGGATAGATGGTGGGATTTGGAGAAATAGAGAAAGAAAGAAAAGTGTTTGTTTTTTGTAGTCGAAGAAGACTAATAGAAATAAATAAATGACAAATTCTGTCTGTCCGTTCGTGTGTCTGAAATCCCTTTAACTTGGATCACACTTGTTCTACATAGAAATATTATAGCTTTTTGGAATCAGGATGATCCCGGGAGTGAAAAATCTGCCCTTCATCTGGTGCTTGAACATCCAACATTGAGATTTATGCCCAGATGAGGAAGGAACAGTTAAAAATTCGAATTTTAAAATAACTGAAAAAAAATAGTGATTTTAAAAGATTTTAATTTATATTGAGTTTAACGTAACACAAAAACTTTGTGAATTTAATTTTTTTGTTTTAAATTCAGTTTAAAATATCTCCAAAACTTTGCGAATTGGGGAAACCAATTTTATTTCTTCAAAATTCTAAGGAATCAGAGTTAAAGTGAGAGGTTTTGTGAAGTTTTGAAGTTCCGCAGAGTTTGTGATTTGAAGAACTCAACTCAAATTGAAATTCCACGCAGAGCTTGTGATTTGAATTTTAGGCCAGAATTGGAATTTTCGCCCAAATCGAAATTTCGGCCAAGATCCGTTATTTGGCCAGAGTTGGATTTATAGCCTAAATTAGAGTTAAAGTGAAGTTCCTTGAAGCGAATTGAGGAATTCAAAGTTATTTCTTAAAATTTTTTCTAATTTGTTTTGCACGCTGGACCTTTAGTTTTAAGGTCGGAGACCCAATTAGCCCTTCATGTGAGCTAACTTAAAAGTCCACACCGAGTGTGGCTTTTGAGCTAGTTTAAAATAAGAATAAAGTAGCCGCGTCAGTGTGCCCAGTAAATGAAACTCTCGGCAAAAGCTCTCAGAAATATTTTCTTTTGGATAAGAGTTTTCGATTTGTCGATTATTTACAAAATTAAATCGTCAGTTTCAATTGATGAAAAACATTCTGATGTAAAAGATAAATTGAAACGTAATTTCTTTTCTGATTGTTGCAATTATAAGTTTAAGGAATAAAGAAGAACTGTGACAGTAAAGTAGGTATTGTCTTTTTTACCGAGATTATTACATACTAACAGTAGAGCCCGGCGTTGCCCGGGGATGTAACAGTAAGAGATAGATCAAGTATCGACCATCATAAAGACTGAAAAATAAAATTGACAAAGATTATTGTTTAAGGTTGACGGACACGCATGTCTTAATTAGTTTTTTTTTTTTTTTTTTTTTACGAATTGGTCAAACCCAAACTCAAACAAAAACATTGTTTTCAATCGTTATGAGTCTCCCGATTGAATAGAATTTTATTATAAACAATTGTCTTGTAAATTGAATTTTTAAAGCATTCTGAATGTAAAAATAAAGACAAAAGTCTGCAAGACAATAAGAAACACTACCTGCCAAAAAAAAGTGAAGTTTTGTTGAAATCGGTTGAAAAATGTAGGAAATCCGATCCCATATATAAACGAACACACACAAACCTGGGTTTTATAATAAGTATAATTCGAGATGAGTTGTCCCCCTTTCATTCTGGTGACCGAATCGTGTTTTATCGTGTTTTCAAATTGATTTTGTGCAAAAACAATTGTGTTTTTCCAATTTTGGGCGCTGTCAGAACCACCGGAAGGTAATTTTACGTAGTTCTGTGAAGTTTTGTTGAAATCGGTTGAAAAATGTAGGAAATCCGATCCAATACACACACACACACACACACACACACACACACACACACACACACACACACACACACACACACACACACACACAACCTGGGTTTTATAATAAGTAAGATTTTAAATTAATAATAAGGCTTTATCAAGTTCATTGAAAAAAGTTTAATAAATTCAGTTATCAAACGTAGAGTTCTGTTGAATTCTTTTCCCGATGAATTGATTTCAAATTAATATATAAAGTCCGTCCCAATTTTGTGTGAATTATTTAAATGAAAAAATTGAGAAAACAGAATTGGAAAAATCATTTGAAAACGGTTGGTTGTATTATGGTTAGTCAAATAATTTCCGTTTTTGATTATCAACATTATATTTTAAAAAATCAAGTACAATTACATTTTATTAAATTATATATTCACATTTGAATTGATTTGTTGCTGCTTATCAGGCAGCTTATCAGGCAGCTTATCAGGCAGCTCATCTGGCTTTGGTGTAAAAATGTTTTCGACGAATTTTTGAATTTGGTTTTTATTAGAAAAAGTCTTTCTCATCAAAGTGTTTTGCAATGATCGAGAAAGGAAATAATAGGTTGGTACAAGGTTCAGGTGAATATAGCGGATGGAATGGAACATACCAACCGAGTTTTGTCGTTTGTTTTTTTTTGCAGCATTCAGTTGTTCTGCAGGGAGGGGGGGCAACATTTTACTTCCACTGTGTACGTTGCCCCACTGCCGCGCAAAAACAAAAATGTTACTGTCCTCGAGATTTAATTTTAACTGCCATGCATTACAATTGGTTCCCAGAAACGAAAATTACCTTTGACTCAACTTTATCTCTCTATTATATATTAGTGTACTCCATTTAATTGCCATGAATGTATCACGCTAACCTAGTTGTTAGGATGATACATTTGTCATTACAATTGATTTCCAAAATGGAAATTACTTTTGATTCAACCTAATACAATTCGAATAAAATCAAGTTTTCTCCATTCTTTACTTATCTACTCATTTGTATATATTAAAATTGTTAAAAAGAAAAACTATTGTAACTTACCAATATCTGTAAATATTACAATAGAACCTTTTCTGCCGTGAGCCTGGTCATTAAGTACAAGTGCGGTGTATAAATCCTTGAAAGACTTCCGATAATTCCACTTGAAACCGTTTTGCTTTTTTGGTAAAGAAGAATTTAATTGTTCTCCTATATTTAATAATGGAGGAGTTGTTTGCAGCTGTCCACGGGAACGAGACTGGTTGATGAGTTTCCAAATAGTTGAATTTTGTGCTGCTGCTGCTGCTGCTGTTGTTGCTACTTCTGTTTCTGCTGCTGCTGCTGCTGCTGCTGTTATTGCTGCAGTTGTTGTTGCTGCCTGTTCCCAGTTGGGTGTGTGGTAAGAATTGTTCGTGTAACTTTGTAAATGCCTGCTTCCTCGTGACGGAAGCCCGAAACAGTAAGTCAGAAACAGCAGAAAGAGTGGATAAAGGATCAGCGTTGAGCGTGCAGCCTGCAAGCAATGTTCCATGTCACAGCGAAGGCTTACTGACGACTGCAGAGGCCTGTGAGAGAAAGTTAAAAAAAAAAAAGTAGAGCGATAAAGAGAAAAAGGAAAAGAAGATTTTTTGGACATATATCCGTTACACCCATCTCCACTTCGCTTCGCAGCACACACTGTCAATTTTGACAAGGATTCTTATTCCTTATCAAGTTGAATTTTTTTTTTTTTAGCCTGTATTGTGTTCTTTTTCACACGCTAGAACATATCAGGTATTATAGAAGGTCAGCTGCCTTAGTCACCATACAGGACAATGAACTTGTATAATCACGTGCACTCATTGCTATGCAAATATTTCCCCGAAAGGTTATGGGACCAAAAAATTAAATCTCTACTACAAAGAATCTGTTGAACGTTCTTGCAGCTATTCTCGTCTACAGTCAATAGAGAAATAGTTACAATAATGTAATTGGGTTGTTTGCCCTCAAACTTTTCAGCTTAGAATCAATCTAATTATTTCTCTTTCAGAATAAGAATCCCCGTTCCAAAGAAACGATCTGATACGTTTTCCTCTTTTTTTTTATTGAAGTAAACGTAATAGGAAGTCGAAGGAAACATTTTAGTGATGAGAAATTTATAAACCGTAGATTTTTATCCATTTTGGTTTCGCTTTTACAAATGATCTCAGTAACCACAAACTTGTAAGTACTTGCTTATGCTTATCCAATCGCAACTCGTACAAAGCCATTTTCCTGCTAGTATTATAAAACCACGTATTCGATCAAACTAACATCTAACATGTTTGTCCATTTAAAACTTATTTTAAAGATAACCAGTTTAAATAGAAGACTAATAAAACTGACTTCAGAGGGCTGCACATTTCGGCTTATACACTTTTCCTGTTACCCAGGGATTGTTGTCAGATAGAAAGGGAAATTAGCACTCGCTCGTTTTAATTTATTTCATCTGTTTAATGACAGAGCTAAAATATTTCTATAAAATTAAAAAAGAAAAGACATTTAAAAAAGATAATTCTGTTTATTACTGAATAGTTTCCGAACAGTTCAATAAATTCTTATAATTATCTGAATTTTTAAGGTTGAAAAAAAAAGTTTCATGTTTTCAACTTTATTGCTAAGCCCTGGTTAGGGGCTGTCCAGACTGAGCAGGATGGGAATGTATTATTCTTATGTATTATTTTAAACCCAGTCAAATTGTGTGAGTATGTATGTGTGCGTATGTGTACATTAAATGACACAAGTACATGTCACATAACATAGACATACGCATATACATATACAAAGGCACATGCGCAATCACATGCCGACAGTGTGTATGACAGACAGATAATAAGCTCTTTTTTTATAATAGATCGATTTTTTTCGCTAATATTGTAACATTTTTTAAAAAGTCACTTTATGGAATATTTAATAAGAGCAGAAGACAAATATCAGAAGAAGGCTGAAGAATGCATCGCATCAACCGAAACGTCCTAACAAAGATGAAAATATTAGAACGATTAATTTACAATTAAACAATAAATATAAGAGGATTATGACAAGATGAGGGTGCTTTTGATTTATTACAGATTAACTGATAAATAATTTCATTTGTCTTTCATCTTTTGTAAGAGAAGAAAAAGAAGAATTTGTTTTAGGCGTTTGCAAGATGAGCTTATACGAATAAACAAAGTAAGGACTTATTAACAAGATTTTATTTCGCAGGCAAGTTTCAACTTAAAGCAGAGTTTGAATGAATTTTGCCATGTCTTTTCTTGCTTTTTGCTATATTTTTCTACAAATACTTTCATGGTAATTGCTCCGATGAGCTGTTTTCACTGGTTCCCAGACTCCATGAATTCAAGCGCCCTACGAGGCTGGCATCGCGCTCCCACCCTTACACTATAGAAATTTTTAAATGTAGCCGTCTCTTCTACTCCAATAGCTTTATACCTCGCACCTCTCGCCTGTGGAACACCCTTCCCAATTACTGTTTCCCTGAGAGCTATAATCTCCAACTATTCGAATGTAATGTCAATCGACACCTCCAGTTACCTTGATCTATCCACTATCTTTCTCTTCATCCTTTCTTCTATCACTCCTATCTGCTCTCGCTCCAAATCTTCTGCAACCCCCTGCATCCTAGTGGCCTCACGCCTTGCTCGGGGCGTAATGCTTAAAAAAAAAAAATTAACAATACATTTAATTGAATAAATAATGAAATCAAAACCAAGAAAAAACTTCCTGTTTGCTTAAATAATTATTTAATTGCAATTTTAGCGTGGCAAGTGGAATCGGCGAACCGGGTTCAAATTCCAGTTAAATCTGTTGCATTTACTTCCGCACTGATGCTCGTGGGAAAAGCATGGACCCGCCTTTTAAACGATGGATTAAATAGACGGGACTATCTAATTTTTTGTGGCAGTCAGTATAGTCAGAATTTAAACCATTGATAAAGTAACAGGTAACCAAGCCCCTATCTTTGCCAAGAAGTCATGAGAAGCGGTAATCGCATAGTGCTGTGAAGCGACATATGATAAAAATCAGCTAAGTACATCAATGTTTCAAAAAGCATTTTGCTTAATAATTTGACTTCCGAGAAGCAAGTAAAAATAAACGACAAGATTTATGGAACGATTTTATCTGTCAGAACCCAGATCAACTTCTTAATGAATCAATTTCTTTACTAAAATGTTTTACTTGTTTGGTTTGAAAATTTCATGTTTTCAGACAGCTAAGTTTTATCGTGGTGGAATGTTCTTGATCCATGGGAGAAAGAAAATGATGAATCATTCAAGAGAAAAAGAACTTCTTTTGTAATCAGTCAAATTTTCACACCGAAAGATTATGCATACCTGCTGGTACCGTTCAGTAGTAAATCATTTAAAAATACTTGAGAGTTTTCCCGTTTCATTGTGAGTTAAGTTAATTTCTGATTTAAACTATGAAAAGTCTCTCTTTTATTGCATATTATCAGTATTGGATGAATGACAAGAATGTTAATGTCAATGTTCTTTTGAGTTTGAAGGAGCCGTTGTCTGTTGCCAATCTGCTCTTCTGTCGGCAAGTAAAATCTTAAGACACAACAGACAGAATATTCATGATATCTACAATACAGAAATAGCTTTTATATTACGATTGTATCGTAGATTTTACAATTGCATAATATATCCACCATAACAGCAATTTTGCCCCAGTCCCAATCATTAATACACAAGGATAAACTCGAAAAAACAGGCATCAAGCTCTTCATACAGAAACAATTTTTTTTTGGTGCTGTGGCACCTTGCATTATTAGAAATATTCATAGAAATATGATTTAATTTTTTCTTACTCGGTTTACTAAACAGGTTGTTGATTTTTTTTAAAACGGAAAATAATTGAGTTGAAAATAATTCACTAAGATTGTACCTGGACGATCCTAAGGGAAGAAGAAGGAAGGGGAAAGAGAGAGGTCGAGAAATACAAAAAAAAAACGGTCATTAACAAAAACACGAGTCAGAAAGATATCTTAGCTAGCATGTTGACCGAATTTTTTAAAGACAATTGGAAGAATAGAATTAGAAATAATAAGAAGAAAGAAAGGGAAAAAAGACATGATATCAAAACGGGCCGCTTGATGGAAGCCAGATATCGGTCAAAGCATCTAGCCTACTTTTGCGTAGAAAGACACCTTATCAATTTGGATAAAGAGAAATTTTGGGAACAATGAAACAATCTTAATCAGAGAAAAAGTGTCTTTTGGGTTGAGGGGAGTGACCGGTGGAACGGTATACAGGCTCTGACCTGTTAAAAATTAGAACCCCCACAATAATAAAGTGGAGACATTTTCAGTGTAGATAATTAAGATTTTTGACTATCAGGAAAAACAAAGAGGTAAAAAGAGGGACAATTGCTTTTGGCTCACAGAGGGCGCCAAGAAGGCGGAAAAGATCCTTTCTGAAGTCAAGTCTAATTAGCGGCGGGCTGTTTGACAAAGTCCAGGTGAGAGAAGGCCAAGATGGTCATTTTCGTACGTGCAAAAAAAAAAAAGGAAAAATTAGATTTTGTTTTTTTAGAACAAGAACGATATAAGCCCGCCCCGATTGATTGCAGGAAACGCCCAATCAGGATCTCATTAGCCGAAAACGGTCACGTGGCTGCAGAAAAGAAAAGAAAGAAATGCTCAACCAGAATCCCATTAGCCGAAAACGGTCACGTGGCTGCGGAAAAGAAAAGAAAGAAATGCTCGATCAGAATCTCATTAGTCGAAAGCGGTCACCTGACATACGAGAGACCGAGAGAGATGGATATGCGCCTCCCCACCAAAAGCACTATGAGGAAGTAGGGGTGAAAACAATAGCGATAATGAGAAATCAAAAATAATGCGACTTTTGGAATTATCGAGAAAACCCCTGACGCCGACAGACCCACCCCAGTTTGTTGCGGCGTCAATAAAAGCAGGACCCCAGTCGACAGAAATCAGTTGGAGTTGGAGTGGAGTTGCAGCTGGACCGCGGGCAGGGAAAGAGCCTGAACGCGGGCATCGGGCCCGATTCACTCGCCCCTTTTGCGGGCAAGAGAATCCTCAGACAAGAAATCCTCCCAGCCCAAGTCGAAGACAGAAGAGTTCAGCCCCGGACGGCAGCGAGAAGAGATCACCTCCACGACAGAGAGTTGCGGCTGAGTTGCGGCAAGAGATCCTTCCAGCCCAAGTCGAAGACAAGAGAACTTCCAGCCTAAGTCGACGAAGAAGAAGAAATACAACCCAAGTCGAAGACAAGAGAACTTCCAGCCTAAGTCGACGAAGAAGAAGAAATACAACTCAAGTCGGAGAGAAGAATCAACTGCGAATGATCGATAGAAATTAGCCCCAGTGTCGAACCAAACCACACTCCGACATACACAATTCTAAAGAGTAGGCAATTCGAAATCTTTAGGTTGTGTGATAGAAGCTTGGTGCCATAGTCCACAGAGCGGGTCGGGAAATGAGAACAATTTTGTTTTTATGTAGCGGACATTAAGATATAAAGGGTTGTTACCCATTTTTTTTCATCAGCAATCTTTTGTCTCGTGAGTTTATTTT